GGATCTGCTCTGCAGACGCCCCTTCCTCGGGGTCTAGTTCGTCTCACTCAACAGATCCCCACCAGCTCCCCGACCGGTCCTGCCAAGCTGTCTTCCCCCATGAGCTTCCTTTCCACCTGTCTCCATCTTTACATTCTGAGGTGTACATTCGGAAACTGCAAATACGCCGAGTTCTCTACCTAATCTCTCAATGTGTTTAACTACCACAGGTAATATGCTTTTGTTTATCAGAATTACTTATTCATTTGAAAACCTACCCTCTGACTCAAAGAGACCCCGATACATAGCCATGTATTCTCTTCCCATTTCTTTTCTCTTGTATATTTTTGGATTGATCATTTTATTATTGATGTTTTCCCATCTATTATGTCAACATTAATGTAATCTTACGACTCTTTCATCATTTTTATAGAACTTAAAACAAATCTCTTTGCCTTATCCAAGTATAGTAATTTGGTATTTCCATCATCTTCCAGAACAATGCAAACATCGTAGATTTCTCTGACTCCATTTAACCCTCCCCAGCACTCAGGAAATGCTTGTTGGGAATTCAAGTCCTGTGTTTACATTGTAGGAGACATCACACTGTCATTAGTCACCGGTACTCTTCCGTCTGTTTGGCCTTTTCAGAACTGAAGAGCCATGCACGAGTCATCCAAGAGTTGTTCTTTCTTCCATTTTTGAATGCTCACCTCTACTCATTGACTCTGGTCTCCCAGTGTTTGTGTACTTAGCCAACTTCCGAAGAGCAGTTTTACTGCACTCTACCTCAGTACTTTAAATATATCATTCTACTATCACATTGTTGGAAAAGTCAAGATACATTTTGCATAGATGAACAGAAAGAATACATCATGATTTTCTAACAAACTTTTTTTTTCTTTAGAGAGAGAGATTTTTGTTATCAGGTGCACGTACTTGCCAAAGACAGAGAGAGAGACGGAAAGTAAGAACTCACCCTCCAGGGAGGATAGCCATATCATAATCCCTTCTCCTCCCACACATGCACAATGCCCAACATGAGTTTTAAGCTGCCGGGTCCAGGACTCAAACCACAGCCGACTACATGGGAGTCTAGTGATGTAACCATTACACCATGGGCTGGTCCAACAACCCAATATTTCTAACCCATAACTCTTGTTGAGAACTCAACTCAAAGTTCAAAGCCCAATCACCACCCTTTTGAAGAAGCTGTCTTTCCGATTTACTTCTAAGGCTTTCTTTGTGGGTTCTGACTATGTTACCATAAAGTACCCAAGCACAAGTTTCTTCCAGTCTATGCTGCCTAGAGTTTATAGGCGTTTTTGAATCTACACGTGATGCCTGTTGTCAGCTTTGGAGTATTTCCTGCCATTATATTTTCAAATATTATCTCAGTTCCATTTTCTCTCTCCCCCGTATTCTAAACACATGCACATTAGGTCTTCTTACTGTAATATTTATCTGATGTCCCTTACCTTTTTTCAGTACTGTACTCCTGTATATCTCTTAGTGCTTTAGAGTGAGAATATTTATGATATCCTTTGCATTGATTCTCTCTTCAACTATGTCTAGTCTGTAGATATATCTATCCTTTGAACTCTTCATTTTATTTGTCATATTTTTTAGTCCCCAATTCTTTTTCTAATGCCTCCTAATTTTCTCTCAAAACCTTATGTTTAATTTGCTTCTACATAGTAAGATAGTTGTTAAGAAATCTATATCTTAAAATTCCATTACCTGGAGCCTCTGTGGGTCTTGTCTTATTATCTGCCATTTCTCTTGATTTTTAATTTATGTTCTCTTATCCCTCCTCATGTACTCAGTCATTTTCAGTTGAGTGCTTGCCATTGATATAAAAGAAGACCATGCAATCTGAGGCCTGGCATGATGCCTTACTCTGGAGAAGCTTTACAGGGGCTCTGGGAGGTGGCTAGGGACAGCAGCAGTCTGGCACCAGCTTAGCCCATGTACAAAGAGCGATGTTACATTTTCCTTTAAGATCATATCAAGTAAATGACCCAGTGTCCCACAGAGAGCTGGTCTTCTAAGTCCCAGACAGACTCTTTCTTTCCCTGCTCCACTATGCCATGCTGGTGACAGCCTGGTAGCTGTGATGAGCACAGCGCTGTGAAGGCTCAGGTCATGCCGAGGATACAATATGAGCTACCGTTTTCACCTCCCGGCCTCCGAAAGCTCACATAATACTCTCAGCACCTCTAGGGTAGGCCGTAGGAGCAGCAGTACTCCATTTTCCAGAGCAGGCATTCTCGTAGGGGTGTGTGAATTGCCCCAAAACGCCCAGATATGAAGTTGGAGAAGCATTAATTTGCAGCCACAACCTTGTCTGGTGGAGCTCTTTGGTCATGTGGGGCTTGGTTACACCTAAAAAGCCACTGCTCACTCCTTCCCAAACTCCGTTCTCCCATGCAGTAAGGAGGCTGTGGTCACACAGCTCTGCCTCCCTACCTGTGACATGCGGTGACAGCATCTGCTCCCAGGGATGCACTGAGGGGGGATGGGCTAAAACTTAGGGGGGGTGTCCCCCTGGAACACACAGCTCAGGGTGCAAGCCGTGCTTGTGTGTGTGCCCCAGATCCCCACGGCTGGGCTTGCCAGGGCACTCTGAGCCTGGAGCATGAATTCCAGGTGCTGGCTGCCTTCTTGGGAGTGTCCTGGGTCAGCTGAGGTGGGCTTGGCCTGGGCTATAACTGATCACTGCTGGCACCTACACCTCCCGCAGAGGACCAGGAGCAGCTGCATCCCTCCTAAACTGCTTCACTAATGGGCTGTACAGGAGGGTCACGGTGTTCTGAGTCAGGCCTCACGCAGGCTTTGAGGAGCTCTGCTCCCTGCTTACGAGGTGCTACGTTTCTGCACCATGGTCAGGGACTTAGGGACAGCGTGGAAGCCACAGGGATGCATGTCCTTGGAGCTGCGGCCCTCACCCTCAGGGAGCCTGCAGGAGGGTGGGGACGTTCAGACCCTGGGTGCAGACCCCTCTTGCCCATGCAGCCACATCTTACCTTGTGTCCAGAGTGTGGGGACGAGGTCTGGGCCACCAGCAGTCGCACCACGGTGTCCCATCGCTTAGCTGACTGGTGGTCCCACGCGGTCACCGTGAACGCCACTTGTGCAGAGGGGACCTGCAGCTCCCGGGTGGCGAAGACCGTCCCGTCTGCCCCGACTTTGAAGTCCATGCTGCTGGTCTCATACCGTGTCCCCTGGGTCTCCAAACAGCTGCGGAACTGGACTGCGAGAGGAGGGGACAGGGTCAGGACCGGACAGGTGAGGGGCCGCGATGACCACCAGAGCAGCCTAGGTCTTCCGTGAGCACCAGGAAAACGTGTTACTGGACGGCGGCCCCTGAGGAGGCATGGTGTTTTCACTCCCAGGGAACCGTGGTGGCTGGGGCGCTGGACTCCCACTTGGCCAACTGTGGTTTGAGTCCCGGACCTGGTGGCTTGAGATTCATGCCAGGTATGTGTGCACGTGTGCCCCGAATCCCAGGAGAATGGAGACGGGATCACGGTGTGGCTATGCCCCTGGGGGTGACTTCTCACTTTCCCTCTCTCTGTCTCTCTGGCAAACATATGCGCCCTATGACAAAAACCCTTTAAAAAAGGGAAGAAAAGCAAAGGCTGCACTTCCATGGTAACGCGGACTCAGCCCTGCCCACTTCTCGCGAGCGTCTCTCTCGTTGCTGTGATCTGGGCACCCACTGGGCCCTGCTCCCCCACGCCGGCCACAGCGAGCCTTCCCTGCCAGCATGGCCCGTGAAGCCCGGTGGACCTGTTGCCCGCCCGGGACGGCAAAGGGGAGGGAGGCAAGGGAAGCTGGGCTTTAGGGGCTGCTCCCTGAGGTGGGTGGTCCCAAGCAGGACTCAGAGCAGCCACGCTCCTGGGCTTCCCTTGCGCAGGGAGCCCCGAGACCCATGCAAGTTCTTTGGGCGCCAGGCCAGGCCAGGCCTGTCTGGTTACCCAGAAACGGAGCCGGAGGGTGATCTGTCAGTGCTGCTGGAGCCGTGGGCTGCTTCGCACCACACTGTCAGGGAGGCGGCCCGGACGCCAGCCTGCTCCAGGCTCTCAAGCCACGGCCGTATTTTTGTCTACATGGTGCCTGTGCTTGCCAGAGAGAGAGAGAAAGAGAGAGAGAGCGAGGGAGAGAGAGAGAGGGGGAGAGAGGGAGAGAGAGGGAGGGAGAGGGAGAGGAGGAGAGAGGAGGAGAGAGGGGGAGGGAGAGAGAGAGAGGGGGAGAGAGGGGGAGAGAGAGAGAAAGGGAGAGACAGAGAGAGAGGAAGGGGGGAGAGAGACAGAGAGAGGGAGAGACAGAGAGAGAGAGGGAGAGAGGGAGCGAGAGAGAGGGAGAGACACACACACACAGAGAAAGAGAGAGAGAGAGAGAGAGAGAGAGAGAGAGAGGGAAGGTGAGAGAGAGAAGTCACCCTGGGGGGGATGGCCACGCCCCAATCCCTCCTCCTCTATTTTCCTCCTGGGATTTCGGGCGTGCACACGTGCCCAGTGTCATTTTTCGCGGACGACTCGAACCGTGCAGTCAGCCGTGTGGGGTCCAGCGGCTTTAGCCTCCGTGCCGCCTGCGGGCCCCACCCCGGCCATTTTGAACTCATGTGAATCAAGGCGACAAGGAGGCCGCGCCCGCGCACGGGTCACCTGGGAGCGTCTTCACGCCCGTGCGCTCCGCGGCTAAGCCATCACGGGGGAGGGCGGGCTGTGTTGCCATCTCGCTGTCATGGATGCACGACTTAATCACTGTTCACCTACTTCATTACTGCGACAGCCCTGTCGCATCCAGCTGTGGTGCCGGCCTGGAAACGTGCGGTCCCTCGCCGCGGACGCGTCTCTCCTGCTCCCCCTCCCGGCCCTCCCACACGCGGGTTTAACGTGGGAATGTTTTGAAACGAGGAAAGCAGCCATTGGCGCCGGTCAGGCCCAGGAGCATGGCGGCTGGCTGAGTCCAGGGTCCTCGGCAGTGGCGGCCCTCATGGAGGAGGTGGCGGAGGCTGCTGGGCCTGGGGCTCTGTGGACCCAGGACGCGCACGGTCACAACTGTCACAGCTTTTTTCAAATAAAAGGAACATCCCAAATTGCTTCTGCGCAGTGGTAACCAAATGCAACACCCAGCTGTCACTGACGAAGACGAAACGGTGGGAGACGAGGGCGAGACACAGACGAGGCGGCGGCGCCCGGC